TGTTATATATACGTTTATGTGTACCTGTGGGTATGTTTGTATAGGTGTGTGCATGTGTTCCGACATTTCCAGACGTTTTGCCAACGGTGTGTCAACGAGACATGTTTTTAGCGAAAATTTTGTTTAGCGTAGAGATATGAGTTCAAAATATCTGACATGAGGTATCAGCTGTTACATCTGATAGATCTTGAAAGTGATGTTGATCAACTTCTTTTCATACAACAATTGAAAGCTTCCTTCATTTGTAATTCTCAGACTGCTCGGTTTAGCGTGTAGTAAAAAAAGTTTTTAAGTAACCAAATGTTCTTCCTCTCTCTCTCTCTCTCCCTCTCTTTTTCTCTCTCACAAGCTCATCTAACACCGATTATAGCTTTTTTATCCTTCCTATTAACAAATTAATAATGTTATCACTGAATGTTTTGCTTAATCGTTAATGAATCGTGTTTTCTCTAGCTTAAGCAAGCTTTTTCGAATTATCGTAGTTTGTTGGATTAATTTCAATTCTAAAAGACGAACATACTGAATGTGCTCTATAATTTCATCTAGCTATTCTTTTTTTTTACTTAATTTCCTATCACCGGAAATTTAATTCATTAAACAAACGATAGACAGGGAAGAGATAGATGGAATGATCCTAGTTTGCCATTAATCATTATACTTTCATTCTTTGAGCATAATTTGAAATCCTCCTTTTCTTATGAATTGGGCACAGAATGCTGGAAGAGTTTCAAAATCAAAGCCACAAATATTCAGCAATGGAAAGAGAAGCTTTCCATCTACCTTTCGCTTTCCTTCATCGATTATGTCATGATACTGCTAAAGGCTAGCAAGAAAGGGAAGTAATAGGCCTGGAATGGGTAAAATTTTTCAAAGCCTAACTTCAGCAGGAAGGGCCCATATCACATTGACTGTCTGATAGATAAGCCTAGACCAGTGGGAAATCTGATTTCTTCTCGCAGACCAAAAATATACATAGAAGTATCCTATATACTTGGATCTCTCTCTCTTTCTTTCTCTCCCTCTTTCTCTCTCTCTCTCTTCCTCTCATTTTCCCAATTTTTCATCACTTATTTTTTCTGCAAATTCCTTTTCCCCCTCCCTTGCTCCTTATATCTGTTAGCTTTTCATTTCATTGAAAACTTTAGTTTAGCAGAGGAAGAGTACTATTATTAGTTTAATATCCCAATACTCTCATTCAACCCGCGGCGACTATTTTTCTTTTCCATATAATTCTCTTCCCGAATCTCTCAAATCATTTGGTAGCACGAAAAGTGCGGCTAAAACTAATTTTTACTCATCAATTTCATTAACCAAATTTTAACTAATCAACTAATTTTACTAATTTTATCTAACTGATTTCACCTGTCAATTTCATTTCCTGTTTTGAAATTACCGTATTATCAATGTTTGTGTTGTCACAATTCCTACTCGAAACATCGGTCGAATGATAAGGATTGATACAGATATTATTAATTTCAAAGATCCATTGCTGATATACAAAACGAGTAGATTAGATGAAGAGGATTGGTTTTTCTGGATTTTTCCGGATGGCTTTTTTCGCTGGATGAGGCCAGGTGAAGTGAAATAAGTGACCGGATAACGGCCGAAGAAATCCTTAAAAATTCCGGAAGACAGATCACATTTCCTTTTGCGATACATAACTACAACCAAATAAACCTGACCATAAGATGGCCAACCTACTTACTGAGTTACCGGCTAACCAATTAAACATAGCTGCAAGAGGTTAGCAACGGGAAATCAAAAATAAGAGACGAAAAGAGCATGATGATTTGAGAGGAAACTAGGATTTGCTAGATTGTCAAAACATTGCATTACTAGGGATTGAAGAGGTGTAGAGAGAGTAAACGCTTAGCGAATAAATGGATGGGAAGGAAGAAAGTGAGGAAGAACAAAAAATATAGGCATTTACCCGAAGTGGGAAAGAGAGTGAGTGAATAAGAGTGGCAAAGATAGAGAGTGCTAGCAAAAGATGAACAGGCGAACGTTTTCCGGATTGATTTGAAATGTGAGCAAGTCTTATGGAGTTTTCGGGGAAGGTCTGTTTGGTTTTTTTCATAATTTTGTTGGTTGAAAGGATGAAAGGACGAGAATTAACTTCATTCATTAGGAATCCATTAATTTCTTGTATTTAATTACTTTATTAAATATTCCATTACTCTCTGTGTAAACTTAGGTTGAAGAACTTGCCTTTTAATGAGATTTAATTTTGTCTCAGCAATGAAGAAATAATAAATTGAATGGAAAAGTGTGGAGGTAAGAAAAATTCATTTTCCGACAACTTCGGGGAAGATTAACAGTTCCTTCTAGATCTCTTGGTAGTCAGGGTGGTTTACCTTTATCCACATTGCCTACCTCATAATGATAAGCATTTCTTGCAATGTTTACTGTAATTATGGAAGAGATGATATTTCTGTTCTACCTGTATCACTATTTAAATTTAGAAATATTGGAATTCGAAATTAAACTTAAATTTTCTCTCGGAGGAAAAGAATAAAAAAGTATTCTATGTGTTATCAGCAATGGTCATCTCAAACAAACTGTTTAGATTACGTTGGGATGAAAGAAACACCGGGCGGTATTAAGGAATAGGATGAACGGTGAGGAGGTGACGAAGAGGACAGAAACGGGACTGGGTGTGATCAAAGTTTGATTTGAATTGGTTTCATTCAAAAACTGCTCACATCTATTGGTATAATAATGGATGCTATTTTTTATACAATTGAAATAAAGAGTAGAATTTGCAATATTTAGTTCATTTCATATTTTTTTTCTCATTTATTCACTCATTGATAAATTAGTTATTCGATTATCTGATCACATTATAAATTTAACTACCCAATTTGTTACCCAAAGTTACTCAATTTTTAATAACCCAATTTGGAAATTATTGAACTCATTCTTTTCCTCTGTCATCACGCGGTCGTTTAATCCTCCCTCTCATCATTATCATCCTTGTTGTCCGTTCCTTTTATTTTTACATTAAGTAACATTTTTCCCTTATTAAATATTCTTACGTTAGTTTAGGTTCGAAAATATCATATCAAAGTTTAAATATACAAGAAATAATTAGTCTCATGTCATCCAATGTATACCAACAAACATATTCATTTTTCTTCTAAAACTTAACGTATATTGTTGCTCATACTGTGATATCAGCATGGGACTTGTTTAATGAATTGATTTAGCTATAGGTCGTTTATTTGTTTTTCGTATTCGACTGATAAATTTTGCACGATTATTTAATTTAAATCGCTTCCTAAATGTTCTTTCTAATCTGCGGTAATCATAACAAGGATGTGACATTTTCACATCCACCTGCCTGATGATTTCAGGGTACAAAAAGCTGTTGTAATGAAAATGTCACGAAGCAAAGATCGTTGATCTGAAACGAAAATGCGCAAACTGTTTGTGCATACAGGAATTATGACTCTTCTCAATAATGTCATTCAGATGCCAGTTGTAAAGTGAAACTTCGCACGATCTCCTCCTATTATACTGTTCTATTTATTACAGATATATATTTCCGGAAATTCCACTCTTCTGCTTTTTAATTTCTGTCAATCTATTTGATTTCCGATATGCTTTCGACGCTAATAGTTTTTATCGATTTTGTTTTGCTATTCGCTTATTTTATTACGGAACATGTATGTTTTCGTCATCATTTCATTTTCCAGTTTTTTTTTTTCAATTTCCTACCATTTCCAAAAAATGAAAAAGATTGCTTTCATCCAACATGAAATTTGGTTCCGGAAGGTCTACAGAATGACCGGAAAATGACACCATTTTCTGGAGAATATAGGTAGATACGAAGATATTGAATA